TATAACCAGGAGAGTTATCCTACTGTTTGGCCTGTTCATAGCGAAGGCAGGGCAGGGCTGTAGATACATAAATAAGACGCCGAGTGATGGACATGTGTGCACCTTTGGAATGCATTCAAGCAAGCAGGGTTTGCGTTGGATCGTACAAGGGTTGTGTCAGTGGAATTGGTTGATGCTTTTTGTTTCTTTGTATATATATATAATATTTTTCTTTCTCATTATGTACTGTAGTGGTGTTATTGCACCAACTGCTTATACCTTTTCCTGTGTGAAAAGTTATTTTTATGGAGAATGGCATGGTAATAAATGAAAGATAAATATAAAATGGTTGTAAAACATGAAGAAATGAAATACAGATATGAACACACACACACACACACACACACACACACACGCACACACGCACACACACACACATATATATATATTTATACACACACACAGAATAGATTCGAGTCACACGTTCTGCAACACGTACCAAACATGAACACAGCAGACATACAAAAGAAAAGAGCTTTTTTACCGAAATACCCAATGAATACTTAAGGGTCAAAACTCAAGAAAATAATTAAACGACTCATTAATCTAATATTAAAAGCCCGTCACTTGTATTTATCCCAGACCGTCTGGCCTTCTTCTGCGGAGTGGAATTATGACATACTTCTCTTAGCTGCGTACAATGGGTTGTGCAATAGGGACTTCGTAACTCGCAAGATTATGCATTCAGGCTACATGTTGAGTTTGTGTACGAAATGGTAAAGGATTAATGGAGATGCATGGCCGAGAGAGGATACGTGGATAGATCGATAGGTAAAAGGATAAAAAATAAACACAGATGGTTTTATATAGTATCCTTACACGCACACCCACTCACACCCACCCACAGACACAGACACACACACACACACACACACACACACACACACACATACACACACACACACACACACATATATATATATATATATATATATATATATATATATATATATATATATATATATAAAATGTTTGTGAATATTTGGTATAATTCTCTGAGGCTATCTTCTCTAACAACAATATTCATTAACAGTATCTGACTCTTGGAGAGAAGCGTGGAACGAATACAGGAAAAAAGAAAAGAAAAGAAAAAGAAGAGAAAAACTCGTGTAACTAGTAGGAAGAACGTCCCTCGCTCCTGAGACGTAATATAATAATTGCTTGCTTGACCAGCTTGAGGTCACCCAGACTTCCCACGTTACATAACCAGCAGGCAGAAGAATAAATGAAAGCACACATCTCTTGATAAACCTTTTATTTTTTTCGTTGCCAGGCACGCACAATTCATATTCACAAAGTCTTAAGACGAAAAGTTTACCAAAAAATGCACATAACAAAACAATATTACCAAAAACGTCTATAAGTAATCATGCCATTATGACCATCCTATAAAATAGACTTTCAGGATACGCACACTAAATCTTATCCTTTTAAAATATAGTAATATATAAACGTATAGATCACACTATATTAAGCTACCATACTGACTGTAAACACAAAATTCTCTTCGAGGCTCCTTAACTGATAACTTTATGTATACTGGACACGTAATAACTCCTCAGACTGGAATCAATATTTTATGAATATATTAACGTTAGATGATCCCATGTGAACACAAAACATTAATTCTCGTAGAAATATAAACTTCACAATATATGCATAAATTCCTTTTGTAAAACGCTGCATTCTAGTTGCTAGGAAGTTATCGCAAACATCTTTTGCAAAACTTACATCACATTTTCACCCATTCATCACAGGACGAGCCATGCACTGGATACAAGGAAACAACGTGAGATATCGTACGTATGTCGAGCAAAAACCCTTTCGTATGAATGAAAAGAGAGAAAAAGAAAAAAAAAAGAAAAAAATTATTCGAAATAGGAATGTAAACTCGTTTTTAAAAGACTAGCTGTTCTTCACCAAAAAGACAAACAAACAAACATAAAACGAACTCATTCATATGAATCATACCGCCACACATTATAAAAAGGGGCCAACATATTTGACACCTAAAACAAAGTACCATTTAAATAAAATAACCTGAAATTTAGGCTTGATTTCCAAACCTACTATTGAGTAGTTTTGTCTCAGATCAATAATAGTTTTATTACAATACAATCTTTTCACACCCGTACATACATAATACTTGAATATTACAGACATCCGGGATTCACACACACACACACACACACACACACACACACACACACACACACACACACACACACACACACACACACACACACACACACACACACACACACACACACACTATTAGCAACAGGTCCACAATCTCTCATGAAAATACAAAGGTTAAACGTACACGAAAACGTACATGTACAGAGACTAACAAGACCAATGCGCGCTCAGACATCCACGACAGCACAAACTAACTCTAAGCCAAACCGAAACACGCATACACGGACTCAAACGAAACATCGATTCATAATTCTTATAGCACCATAATATTGGTAATAACTTATTTCTAAATATACCTTTCTGAACACAATACACTCCCAACTCCGCCCTTTTTTTTTTTTGAACGAAACACATCAACTCGGTTTTTTTTTCTCAGGCTCAAACACATTCTCTGCATCTTGAGAATACTCGCCTATCGTTAATCTCAATCAATAATACAATCAAATCGTTCCACTGATGAAATAGCCTTTATCGTATCAAAAAAAAAAAAAAAAAAAAAAAAAAAAAAA